GAGAGAAATCAGGGTTGCGAACGCCATGCAGCTACCTTGAAATCCCCGACAAATGCTGGAAAACAGCTGAAAGCTCTCACTCGGCCGCTCGGGCACCTGGATATGCACACAAGGTGCAGGGAGTAACGTGAGTACGCCAACTCAGTAAGTAACTAAAGTAAATAATGGACTGAAAGTAGTGACAAGCAGTTCAAAACATATATCTTTAAATCAGTCTGTCATAAATTCCTCATTTTCAATTTACAACTTTGAAATCAGTTACTTGACAATATATCTAACAGAAGCTTATCTATAAGAAGCATGCAAATGGTGGAAACATCATAACAGGGCCCCTCGGGCAAAGGATCACTCAAAATACGGCCCCTCGGGCAGCCTCTCAGTCACTCGTGACTCAGTTCTCGTCATCCAGTACTCACTCTCAGCACTCGGCTAATCAAATCTCATAACAATAGAAATTATAGTAACCGCTGCAGTGTGCAGCCCGATCCAATATATTTACAGTCGACTACACTCACTAGGGGTGTGCAGACTCCGGAGGGGCTCCTACAGCCCAAGCGTCATATTGTTGCGGCGTGCAGCCCGATCCAATATATATATATATATATATAATATATATATATATATATATATATATATATATATATATATATATATATATATATATATATATATATATATATATATATATATCGCTGCGGCGTGCAGCCTGATCCATATAAATATCGCTACGGCGTGCAGCCCGATCCGTATATACACATATAATATCCTCACCATAAGGTTCTCAACCTCTCTCAGTCATTAGCCTCACAGCCTCTCGGGCATCACAACAGAAATAAGGGAACTCAGCCTAAACAGTCCTCACAATAGGAGAAAAATGATAAAACCAGTTTTAAACATTTAACAGGAAAAAACATGACTGAGGATATGTTTTTAACAAGTATGGTGAGGAAAACAGTTAAAATACCCCTGAGGGTTTCTACAGATCGGCACGAGGCCCCAAACATGGCATAAAGCCCATAATACAGTATAAGGATCCAAAATCCAGAATAATATAACATTTTTCAAATAAAATACGTGGCTTAATAGTCGCTAAGGGACAGACCAAGTCGAAATCCCTACCGGTGCACGCCCACACGCTCGTCACCTAGCATGTGCGTCACCGTACATATCAAATCAAGTCGAATACCGGGGTTTGTACCCTCAGTTCCAAATTTACAATGGTTACTTACCTCAAACCGGTGAAAATACTACTCTGCGATGACTTTGCCTCTCGAGTCGGCCTCCACTCGTGTCGAATCTAGTCAAAATTAGAAAGAATACATCACAATATGCTAAGGGAACCAAGCCCAAGCGAAAACAATCGAAAAATACCAAAAATCCCAAAATTAGCAAAACCCGAGCCCTGGTCCCACTTCTCAAAACTCAGAAATTTTCACACCAACGGGTTCCTTATCTCCCCACGAGTCTATGCATATAAAGAACACCAAAATCGGAGTCCAAATACCCCTCAAATCCTCCATTAAAGGCCTCTTAAACTCAAGCCCTAAACCTCCATTTTTAGCCCTTTAATCCTCCTAATTACAGCCTTAATTCATGGAATTCTACCATAGAAATGTGTTTTAAGTACAAAATCCTTACCTCAATGAAGTCTCTTTGATTTCTCTCCTAAAAATCGCCCAAAGCTCCCAATTCCGAGTTCAAAAATGGTTAAACCCTTCAAAAGTCGTGAAGTATAAAATAAATACATTCTGCCCAGGCCTTTCCGCATCTGTGGTCCAAAACCCACTTCTGCGGTACCGCATATGCGGTCAATCCATCCGCTTCTGTGGAAATTCACTTAAGTCCCCAAAATCGCATCTGCGACAAAAATTCCACATCTGCGGCTTCGCAGATGCGGCCACCTCGACCGCTTCTACGGAAACTGCTCGCCAGCCCCCTTCTCGCATCTGCGGCTTGTTACCTCGCACCTGCGGTCGGAAATGCCAGAAGCAAAAAAATCTACAGCTGCAATTACACTTCAACTCTTCCGATAACCACCCGAAATCACCCCGAGGCCCCCTGGACCTCAACCAAAAGCACAAACATAACCCAATACCTTATTCAAACTTGTTCCAATCGTCAAAACACCTCAAACAACCTCAAATCTACCAAATCACAACGAATTCAAGCCTAAGTTTCTCAATTCTTCCGAAATATGCTTTTGATCAAAAACCCAACCAAACCACCTCCAAATGACCTGAAATTTTACACACACATCCCAAATGACCTAACAAAGCTACTTCAAGCCTCAGAATTCCATTCCGACCCCTATACCAAAATCTCGCCTATCAATCGGAAATCGCCAAAATCTCAACTTCGCCAATTCAAGCCTAAATCTTCTCTTCACCTCCAAAACCCATTCCGATCGTGCTCCTAAGTGACAAATCACCTCCCAAAGCTAACCGAACCATCAAAACTAACATCCGAGCCCTCTAACACATAAGTCAACATCCGGTTGACTTTTCCAACTTAGGCTTTCTTAAAAGAGACTAAGTGTCTCCAAATTCACCAAAATCAATCTGGATTCAATCCAACCAACCCGATACCTCAAAACACAGATGAACAAAGCAAATAGGAGCAGAAATGGAGAAAACGGACCGGTAACTCATGAGACGACCGATCGGGTCGTCACAAGTACGGTCCGAACAAAATCGAGTGCGGTCGCAGTGAGGCTTCTTGGCTTTAAACTCTGCTCTCTGAACTTGGCCACCGCGGGCCGCTAAAATGTACCGCGACTGCGGTGGCTTCTGTTGCAATCCGCATAAAAAGGACAGCGGACCGCATTGGCAATTAGCTCCAGATCTTCAACTCTCTGAACTCCTTCTTTGCGGCTCGCACAATATCGAGTGCGGTCGCGGTGAGTCCAGTGTGGTCTACACGAAATGCTTTGCGGCCGCACTGCTTAGGTTTCCGGAATCCGCAGTGGGTATTATTTCAACTGTGCTTGAACTTGTCCTTGTACTTGTGCATGTTTCACTCCTTTTTGAGCTGATTTTGACTAGTTATCTCCTTTTTGCTCAAACCCTGTAATCAAGTACGACATGTAAGCCTTTGGGACTATTTTGTATACATTTTTACTCAAAACTCAAGTGAAAAGGAGTGTAAAATGAACTAGAATCCCTAGTTATCAATTACCATCGAATAGACTTGTACCTACTACTGTCTTCCTCAGATAGTTAAGGTGATGAAATGTAGGAAGGAGGTTGAGATCTAAATAGCCAAGGGTCGTTTCTTCCTCTGGTGAGATATGAGAGGTGATATCTCCACTTCCTTATGAGACAATGTTGTATGGTTACCTTGGTATCAGAATAAAAAGTTAGTATAAAGTGGTCCTATTCTATTTCAAGCAAGTTACGTGGTCAATGGTTCTTGAGCGATGAGGTATAAAGAAGTAGAGGAAATATCTTTCTTGCACGTATTAGTGGAGTGTAGAAGAATATTAAAAGACAAGAAATTTTGCTTGAGATGAGTATTTCTACTAGCTCTTTAATACAGGCAGCTTCCGAGGACTTAAAAGGAACTCTAAAGCTCAGTTGGATTCATACCCTCGCATTAACTTGTTAATTCATAGCAAAGGTAATTACAGAAAGTTAGAGTAGCCTCAATTTTCTAGTTTAACCAAGCTTAGGGAGATCAAGAACTAAAAAAAACTAGTAATTTTGCGGGAGAAGTTTTGTTAATCTAAGATAAGCTTCGTTTTCTGAAGCTGGCTATTCTATTCATTAATTAAGACATATATAATGATTTTACCCATTTAAGAAAAAGAGAAGAAGTGAAGTTTATCGAAGGATGGACTAAAGCGCGCAGTTCAAAATTATCAACAGTCTTATGCAAATAAAAAGGCATCGAAAACATGGTTCTAGAGCAAGAAACCTTGTGTTTTTGAAATTATCTCCAGGAAAGGGTGTCGGGAAACTTAGGAATAAAGGAAAATCTAGCTTGAGCGAGGTTTATTGGGCCATATGAAATTATTAGAGATATTAGGAAGTAGCATAACTTGCCTGCTCTTAGAGTTGCCTTTCGTACATCCAGTCTTCTATATCTCCATGTTGAGGAAGTATGTGTACGACTCAAGGCATGTAATTCCTTCTCAAAATGTACGAGTTGATGAGACGCTATCCTATGAAGAGGTTCCTGTTGCTATACTTGATAGACACGTCCAGACATTACAAATCAAAATGTTGTTTCAGTAAAGGTATTATAGCAAAATCGTTCGACTAAAGGAACCTGAACAAACTATGGAGAAATATCCCTTTTTTGTTTCGTTCCATGGGTATATAATTTATTTATTCTTTGAGTGATGGAATGTACCTAGGTGCATATATGTTCAATGTGGTGAGATGATGACATCTGATATTGTATAGTAGAAGTATCATGTTGATGTGTTCTTCTAGATAGAGTAATTGGATGTGCAACTATTGTTATTGCGTGGTATGACAGGTTGAAAATTTAACTTAATAGTAGAAGCAGTGGAAACTCTATCGAAATTTTTAATAAGTTAACAAATTAGTTAAATGTTGGGGTCTCAAGAGAAAGGTGAAAACGGAATAGGCCTAAGATCACTCATAGACTCAATGATATCTATGACACAATATTCGAGGACGAATGTTCCTAAGCGGGGAAGAATGTAAAGTCCCGTAAGTTTCAAGGCTTAAAATTTGAGCACCGCTTTCCATACACAGACCGATGGCCAGGCAGAAAGGACCATTCAGATTCTCGAAGATATGCTGCGAGCATGTATTATAGACTTTGGAGGTAATTGGGATGATCACTTTCCACTCATAGAATTTGCTTACAATAATAGCTATCAAGCCAGCATTGGTATAGCTCTATGAAGCGTTGTACGGGCGAAGATGTAGGTCTCCAGTGGGCAGGTTTGAACTAACGGAGGTGTCGTTGATCGGTCCAGAGTTTGTTTGTGAGCCTTAGAGAGAGTTCAGCTAATCAGAGAAAGGCTGAAAATGGCTCAGAGTCGTCAGAAGTCCTATTCTGACAAGAGGCATCATGACTTAGAATTCATGGTTGGTGACAAGGTGGTTTTGAAAGTTTCACCAACGAAAGGAGTTATGAGGTTTGGTAAGAAAGGGAAACTTAGTCCTAGATTTATCAGACCTTATGAGATTATAGAAAAGAAGGGGAAAGTGGCTAATGAACTAGCGTTGCCCATTGAGTTGTCCTCTGTTCATCCTGTCTTTCATGTGTCTATGCTTAGAAAGTACATTTATAATGAATCACACATAATACCTGCCGACATCATAGAAATTAAAGAAGGTTTGACTTATGAAGAGTTACCTATAGAAATTCTCGATAGGCAAGTAAGAAAGTTGAGAACAAAAGATATAGCATGGGTAAAAGTTTAGTGGAGTAATCATGATTCAAAAGAGGCTACGTGGGAGGTCGAGGAAGATATGAGAAAAAAGTGTCCTTATTTATTTGAGGAATAAGGTATGTGAACCTAGGTTTGACATGACATTTACATTTCAGTTATTAAATATAAGTTAGCAAGTGTTTATGTCCTTACTAAATTATACTTAGTTGTTGCAGTAATTTAGTTTCTGTCAGAGTATATTTAGTTATTAAATAAATTTAGTGCAATGCTAGAGTACATTTAATTCATTAAAGTTATTTACTTTTTGCTGAAGTATTGTGCTTTAGATTTTAGTTATCTATTATGGTACTTCCTTGCCGGAATGTAAGTAATTAGTTTATGAGCTGTGTGTGGTGCCTATGAATGGCCTGTTATGGTATACTTGGTTGTTGTAGGTGTAGTTGTGGTATTTGTGACAGGGATTTTTTTTTTTTTTTGGATAGTCAAATTTACAGGGGGGATTCTACCAAAAAAAGTAGTGCTAAGGAAACTTAAGAAGCTCAAGTGAGTAGTGTTAGCAATATTTGAGGACGAATGTTTTTAAGGAGGGAAGATTGAAATACTCCTCAAATCTATAAAAGATTCAAGACACACTAAATATAGAATTAATTTTTTTAATCTTGCCTAGAGTGCAAAAAAAAAAGGTTATACTTAAATAATTGGATATACAATTAGGGAAATATTATTAATTTTAATATTACTAAATATTAGAAATGAGTATCATTAATTATTAGTTAAGTTTAAAAAAAAGGGGATAAGCCTAAAGCCCATAAAGTGGAAAGGCAAAAAGGCTTGAAGCCTTAAACAAAACACAATTAAAAAGTTTGAAGGTTGAAAAGCCTTATAGGAACGAAACAGAAGGCCTAAACTCATACGAAAAAGAGAAATAGAACACGAACGGAGTAGAGGCAGCCTTGCTACTCAATACTCACACAGGCAACGGAAAGTTCTAGGGTTCTTTACAAATCACTAATTCTTGATCTCAGGTATATAAAACTGCATATTGTCAATTATGCTACAGTAGTAGTAGGTAAGAATCAAATAGTTAATTCCCTTCTTTCTCTGTATCAACATTAAATTCCATGTTTAGGTGTGACACTTTAAATTTAATTAAAATGCAATGGTTGTTGTAGAATCAATTATCTGACGGGTATAAATTGGACTGGGGCCTATGTATTGGCTCGAGGAGTTTTGAGGTGAGTTGATATAACCCTTTACTAAAGTGGTTTAACTCACAAAAGCACGCATACAAGATGTTTGATGAATTGCTTAAAGAGTTAATATGTACTTCATTGAAGCGAGTGAGTACCTATTAACTTAGAATTGTTCTAGCTAAAGTTTAGATGATTTACTATGATATAGGCGCATAAATTTTTAGATTTTTGTGCTATTCTTATATGCCATTTTCATGTTGAAAATTTATGAAGAAGCAAGAATCTTTAGAAATACATTTAAATGTTCATTTCATTCTCATACCATGCTTTACATTTAAGGATACAAATATGAGTATGTATAGGATGTTTCAGAAAGATTTAGACTTGAAAAGTCACAAGAAGAAGTATTAGAAGAAAAGATTTTGGGAGTATCCTCTATTCTGAGAAGGGGTCATCATCCAGGCCGAGGGTCCTGACCAAGGCATTGACTTCCTGAAACTACTTGTGCCAGAGTAGGGAGCACACGAGCCGAGGGTCTCGCTGCAGAGAATTTACTTACCCAGGCTAATGTATGATACATGAGCGCTGAGAACCATGAAGCGAGTGGCACCTCGTGGATTGGGCCTATTCGATCAGGTTGGGATCGAACCCGTGCCGATCACACGATGACTGAGACAGAATTGAGTCAGGATAGTTGGAACTCCCGAATTATAAAGTGAAGTATTTTTTTATAAGAAAGAAAAGAAAAGAATTTCTTTTAGAATATTCATAAACTGCTATTATGCAATTATTTTAGAATTGTTCTTAGAAGCTGTCTGTTTTTCATACATTCAAAATCTTTAGTTGTAATGTATATTTTACTAAAGTTTCGTCCCATGTCTTCGAGACTCACTGAGTACAATGGATGGTACTGGCGTTCTCTTTTGGGAACCTATGTTGGTCTGCGGTACAACGTGGGAACCGGATTTGCAGGCGAGCAGATTACAGGTTAGGACTCCCCCCACTTCCAGTGCTATTAGTGAGCTCCGCTTTTGTTCGTGGAGTACTCTTTTTAGTCGTCATTATTTAGCTATTTCTTTGTTTACTTAGAGAACTGACCAGAAAATCTCATGTCCCGAGCAGTGCGTCAGTTTATCAGTAGAGGCTTCATAGACACTGTCGATGGGTTAAGATTCAGATGTTTTTGATAATAACTTAGTAGTATTTCAGTGGTTACTACGATTAAGTTTTGGAGTTGGTTTATTTTAGATTTTTAAATTAATTGAAAGTATTTGGTTAAAGTATTGTCTTGTTGCATATAAAGTTTTAAGTTATAATAGATTTGATAAGCGCACATGGTTCGCTCGGTCAAGTTTAGTGATCGGGTGCCGGTCACGGCTTGTTCAGAAAATGGGTCATGACATATCAAGATAATAAACCTCCGTGACTTGGTCTAACTCGACATCTAAAGTTAGGTCATGAGATGAGAATTGTGATTGCATAATTCAATGTCCGTGCATGGCCAGGCCTGGTAACTAGAATGTGTATGACATTACACATTGATAAACTATAGAAAATGCTTCTCAAACTCATATTATCGTGTGCAAATACATTAATATATACATGAGTTTCTTAGAGAATAAGACTCTAAAGTTGTGACTGCTAAGGACTCCTAATAACAGAGTACTTACAGCATCTTCAGGCCAATCCTAATATTCAACAATTACATATAAATAGACTTCCGCACAAACTCCTACGTGACATTATTTTTACACGCCCCCTCAAGTTGAGCAAGGTGTGGAGCAACTGTCAACTTGCGCTTCAAATCTTGGAAGCAAACCTTGGACAAAGGCTTGGTAAGAGCATCGGCCACTTGGTAATGATAACTCATGTACCTGACCGACAAAGACTTTCCACGAACCTTGTCACGGACAAAATGAAAATCGATTTCCATATGTTTTGTCGAGAATGAAAAATAAGATTAGCAGTCAAGTAGGTAGCACTAAGATTATCACACCAGAGAATGGGAATAGAGGTGGTAAAACATCCAATCTCTCGGAGGAGAAGCTCAACCCATGTCACCTCAGAGGTGCAGCAGCTAATGCACGATATTCAGCCTCTGCGCTCGACCGCGATACAACTTTTTGCTTTCGAGAAGCCCATGAAATCAAATTAGAGCCAAGAAAAATGGCAAATCCAGTGGTAGACTTGCGATCATCAACATCACCTCCCCAATCTGAATCACTATAACCATGAAGCAAGCCAGAGGACCCACGAGAAAGAAATAAACCATGAGAGGAAGTAGCATTGACATAATGGAGAATACGTTTGACAGCAACCCAATGAAAATCCATAGGACAATGCATAAACTGTGAAACTTTGTTATCCGCATACGCTATATCGGGTCTAGTAAACGTCAAGTATTGTAAAGCTCCAACGGTACTCCTATAGAGAGTCTGATCAGGAAATGGACGTCCACCAGTTGTGGAGAGCTTGGATGAGGTTGAAGCTGGTGTGGAGACAGGACCACACGACCCCATTTTCACACGATTAAGAAGGTCGTTGACATACTTACCTTGCGATAAATGTAATCCTTCATGTGTCCAGTTGGCTTGAATGCCCAAGAAATAAGATAATTTCCCCAAATTTCTAACAGCAAATTGAGTTTGTTGTTTGGCAATAAGAGCTGCAATATGAGCAGAATTAGAACCCATAACCAAAATGTCATCAACATATATTAAACAAAATAGCTTGTCATCGGCATTCGACATATAGAACAGAGAACTATCAGTTTTGGATCCCACAAAGCCTAGAGAAAGAAGTTCATTAGCTAAACGCTTATTCCACATAGGTGGGGCCTATTTGAGGTCGTAGAGAGATAGTTTAAGTAAACAAACTTGATCTGGACGAGTAGGATCAAACAATCCGGGAGGATGAGACATATATACAATCTCATCTAAGTTCCTATGAAGAAAGTCACTAGAAATATCCAGTTGAATGATGTGCCACTGATGAGACACTGCCAAGGATAACAACAATCGTATGGTGGCCGGCTTAACAACTGCACTAAATGTGTCGGCAAAATCGATGCCCGGTCGTTGATGATATCCTTTAGCCACAATCCTTGCTTTATAGCGATCCAATGAACCATCCGACTTTAACTTTGTCTTGAATACCCACTTACAACCAATTACGTTGTGAGATGGCGATGGTGGAACTAGTTCCCAAGTACCATTATGAATAAGTGCATTATACTCCTCTGACACGGCGCGATGCCAATTAACATCCTTGATAGCCTGTGAGTAGCAAGAAGGTTCCATTATTGCCGATGTCGGTGTCAAAACAGACATTGAAAATGGCTTCTTATGCTTCAATAAGCCTGTTTGTGATTGTGTCACCATCTTTTGCGAAGTCAAAGCTGCTGGTTGTAGTGTACCAGCAGTTGAAGTGTCTCCAAGATCAGGAGAGTGCATTGTACCATATAGAGGATTTTCTTCAACCAGAGTGGTGACATCAAGTCTACACCATGAGATACTCTAACTTGTAAAGGCTGATCAATAACAATTGTATATCCATGAGTAGGATCAACAGATCATGAGGATGGGTGCTTAGACAAAGACTCTACAGGTGGAGAGGGTGAAGGCGGATTCGACGTACGCGATGGGGAATGAAAGTCGTGGCAGAGATGGTGGAATAGTTGAAGGGTCAACAAGAGGCTGGAATGGCAACTTCACATTGAGAGGTTCAGATTTAGAATTGGGTATAGATGAAGGCACCACGACATCCTGTGAAACAAAAGGGAAAATATTTTCATCAAAGATTAAATGACGAGAAACGTAAAATTTTGAAGAAACTGGGT